GGGTGGTTCATCTATTCCTCATCCTCCTGAGGCCTGGGGAGCGCTCTCACCACCAGACGGCCAAACAGAGGAGGAGGAGCAGGAAGGGGACCCGGGAGGAGGCCTGCGAGGTCCCAGGACAGCAGGAGAGAGTGAGGTCACAGCAGGCGGGAGGCAACGTGCTGGACAAGGAGGGGTCCACCCCTGACGATGCTGAGAACCGGGGGAAGGAGGACAGAGAAGTCCTGCTGGATTAGATCTGGCACCAGGAGGCCTTTGGTGCCCGGGACAGGGGCGGGGTCTCACCTGACTGTCCAGCTCCACCCTGTCCTCAGGCTGTGTGTCCTTCACGGCAGCATCTGCGGGGACACAGCAAGGGGTTTGTCTCCTGGGAAGGTTCCCTGAGACCTCTGAGTCCTGCCGGCCCCTGCCCAGCTCCCAGACGGGGCCACTGCGATGCAGGGAGGGGCTGTGATGTCCCCGAGGTCCCACAGTGTGGGGTGAGATCATCTCACCCTGAGCCCCAGACCCTTTCCAGCCTGTGCCCCTTTCCCCATTGCTACGGAAACTTTGGGGCCCCCATCTCCTCCTGGCTGGTCGCCTCCCCCATCTCCTCCTGGCTGGTCGCCTCCCCCATCTCCTCCTGGCTGGTCGCCTCTTCCTGTCACTCACAGAGGTTTTCTTCCTGGGTGTCGGCAGCTGGGCTGGACCTGGGGGAGGAACGGGAGCTTTAGGGGCAGTGTAGGGGCCCGGTGGGAGTCTGGGGTCTTTGGGCAGAATTACCTCCTCTGAAGGCCTCTGTCTCTGGGCTCTGGCTCCACAGCCCCTGCAGGATATTGGAAATCAGCCTTTCTCTGGGCTGGGGGAAGAAGGACAGAGCCTCAGCCCTGGGAATATCGGAGCCCCTGCCCCCCCACACACAGCTCGAAGGTAAGGAAGGAAACCTGAAAACACTCCTGCCTCCATGTTCCAAATGCCCCATGAGATGGACAGAGCCTGAAGGACACTTTACATTTGTAGACGGGACTGACATTAAGTGCTTTTTCCATTTGCCTGGTGAGAAATGCTGGAACAGTTCCTCAAAGCTGCATTTGCCCAGTGGTTTGGATTCCCTTTGGCTGGTGCCCTGAGGCCACCCTCGGTCGGCCCATGGGGTGCCCCCTTCCCTACTCACCCGATGTCCAGCGTTTGCCCTGACGTCCATATCGGAGGATGAGGAGGAGGAGGAGGAGGAGGAAGAGCAGCAGGACGAAGGCCACTGAGACCCCAGTCACAACTCCCAGGTGCCTTCCCAGACCTTGAGCATGATGACATCAGAAATGGGGGTGATGTCATGGACATGAGCTCCTACTGTGTGCTGGACCTTCTGTTCGCCACCTCCAACCCCCACAACAGTTGTACAGCACGGAATGGAAACACAACCCACCCACCTTACAGATGGAAAACTGAGGCTCAGAGAAGGGAATCGCCTGCCCCAGGACCCCCAGCCGGGAAGCGGCAGAGCTGGGAAGGGAATCCGGGAGTCTGAACTGCAGTCCTTGTTCCCTGCACCAGAGCTGAGCCCCGGAGATGCAGGGAAAGAGCCTGACCGTCCTGAACCACGGCGCTGCTCCCCTCCCCTGCCCCAGGTCACCGTCACTACTGCAGGTGGGACAGGACAGGCCTCTGCGGAATCGGGTCTGGGAGGCTTCCCTGGGAGGCCTCCTCTCCCAGGAGGTCACAGCTGGGAGTCAGAGCTGAAAGGAACGTTCCCACCCGCAGGCTTCTTTCCTTTACACCTGGAGAAACTGAGGCCCAGGCAGGGGAGGGGCCTGTCCACGTCACCACCTCCAGAGGAGCCTGAACCTAGGACAGAAGCCACCTCTGCCTCCCCAGGACCCCGCCCACCTTCCTCTCAGAGCCCCCACTCACCACTCTGGGGGTCCGACCCCGTGGGGGTGAGGGGCTGGTCCTCAGGGCCTGCTGGGTCAGGATGGGAAGGTGAGGGCTGGGGCGGCCCCGTCCCCCATATCAGCCCGGCTGCTCCTCCTCCAGGCTGGGCCCCAACACCTCCCTCTGTCTTGCCCCTGAGCCCCTCACCGGCTCAGCCTCAGAGCCCCTGGGAGCCTGTGGCCCCTCCTCTGGCTCTGCCCAGCTCCCGGGGTGGAAGCCCATGCCTGAGTCCTTGAGGGGAAAGGGTTTCTCTGGGAGACTCAGGGCTGCCCCGGGGGAGGCTGTGCTCCCTCTGAGCCCAGAGGCCTCAGGGACTCACCAGGTGTGGGGGTGGAGCCGGTGGGTGGGAGACTGGGACTCCCGGAGGGTCCTGGGTAAAAGAAAGAGAGGAGGCTGAGGAGCAGGGCTTCCCTGAAGAATCCCCCTCAAACCAAATTTCTCTACATGGGGGCTGTGGTCTCCCCAGGCCCCTCCCTCCACCCACCTCTCCTCTTTATGTTGCTGTTGATGACACTAAGGGTAGGCATAGCTGGGAGGGCCCTGTTGTCCTCCTTCCCTCTGAGGGTGAGTGTCCCTCTGGCTGAGCCCCGCTCAGATCCCTGCTCACTCCATCCCAGCCCAGAGCTCTCCTGGAGCAGGGCCAGAGCTGAGTCTTTGAGCTCAGAGGGGACAGGGTCAAGGCCCTCACCTGAGACCACGAGCTCCAGGGGGTCACTGGGGAGAGACAGCAGGTAGGGGTTGGAGCTGTGTGAGCCGTAGCACCTGTAGGTCCCCTTGTGGGCTGACGTCACAGGACCCATGGGGAATTCAGCCTGGTACTTAGGCGCTCGGTGCTTTGATCTCAGACGGGGCGGGGGATGGGCTGCCCCCTCCTTGGTCAGAAGGAAAGTGTGTAACTCCCACCATGACTGACACAGCAGGGTCACGTTCTCTCCTGAGGCCACCATGGGGCCCGGCAGCACCGAGAGGGAGACCGTGACGTAGAACTGTCCTGGAGAGAAGAAGGATGGATGAGGGGCTCCCACCTTGTTCTGAGCTGATACCTCCCCAGGCCTCTCTCTGGAACCCTCAGTCTCTGTCTCTGTTTTCTCTGAGTCTCCCCCTCCCCGCCCATCCCCTGTCTCTGTCTGTCTCTCCCTTCCTTGGTGCCCCCATCCCTCATCCCGGGCATCACCACCTGGGCTCCCCTGGCAGGGCCTGTGCAGAGCCTGGGTCCCTGACTGAACCCGCTGGGCTCATCACCTGAGATCAGGATGTCCAGGGGGTCACTGGGGGACGACCACTCGGAGGAGAGGTTGTGTGCACCGTAGCATCTGTACTGGCCCCCATGGGAGCGGCTCACAAGGCCCAGGGGGAAGTTGGCCTGGGAGAGCCCAGCCTGGGGCTGCCGGCCAGCGCGCTGGAGGAAGTCACGTTCTCCCTCCTTGTACAGAACGAATCTGTTGTAGCCGGCATCAGAGCCACACTGGAGGGTCAGCTTCTCCCCGAGGGCCACGACAGGACCCGGCTGCACTGAGAGTGACGGCTTCTTAGAAACGCCTGGGAAAAGGTGGTCACGGTTTCC